GATGAATTCATACTGTGATTTACCCTTAAGCCAAATAATAATGGTACATTGAGGCATATTTCAATGTTTCCGAAGCATTCAGACAGCAAAAACGCAAACTGTTTCTAAAAACGAATACCTTGTTAAGCATCTATCTCTCTCTCTCTCTCTCTCTCTCTCTCTCTCTCTCTCTTCATTTCTTAAAGTTGTAACAAGAAAGGAAGCTACGTCTATGGTCATACAATTGGCACAACCAATTTTTTCAGCTAATATATAAGTTTTTCCTATTGAATGTTAATAAAAAAGCGAAAGTTAATATGACATTTTGTAGCAAATTCATCTATACTTTTAATATTTACAGTTTTAAATTCACAATTTGCTTTTTCCTCTAGATCTAATTTTTAATTGTATTAATTACTCGATAGTTCCTATGGCAGCTATATGATATAGTCGCCCGATCCGGTCTGTTCCGACATATATACGAGTGAGGGTATATAGAAGACTAGTTTGCGCAGAAATTAAAAGGAAGAAGAAAACCTATAATATAACTTATGTTAAAAGCATTAAACTTTCAATACATTTACTATACATATTATATTTATAATTGTACAGTTACAATTTTAAATTCACAGTTTTGCATTTTGCTATATACATAAATTGCACTTGTCTTTGAATTTCTAATTTTCGATATAGTCGTTTTGAATTCAGAATTACAACTTTTTCAGTTTTCAACAGAATTTGATCAAATTTGAGATATGGCCATTTTATATTATTTTACAAAATTGTGTAAAATGTTATAAAAATCGAACTACTATAACATATAGCTGTCATAGAAACGATCGAGAAATTAATACAATATTATAAGATTATAATTTTTCAAGTTTTCAACATATTTTCATTAAACTTTAAACATTATTCTAGAATTTCGGTTTTAGTTTTATGAAAATCGGACTACTATATCATTACATATAGAGGAAGATGCAAAACTGTGAGTGTAAAACAGTAAATGAAAAACTGTAAATAAATATATAAATTGTACTATTTCCTAGTGATCGAATTGCAATCTGCAAGGGTATAATAACTTCGGCGTGCTTAAGCTTAGCTTTTTTATTTTTATTTCCTATGTACATAGGTATTTACATGGTTCTTGTTTTTTAAGCACTCTTATTCCTCGTTATATATTATATACATACATATATGTTAATACATTTGGTACTCTGTCTGCGAAAAGCTCAAAATCTCACACTCATTAACATATTCATTCAGTTGGAGAAACAATGCGGCGACAATTTTAATGAAGGATGAAAAAATTAAATTTATTGTTGGTTTTTCTCCTTTATATACTCTTTTTTGCTTTTTGCAAGTTTTTGAAAACAGTCCATCAAAGTGAATCCCTTAGCTTTCGCCTTCTGGTTGCCTTTTTTGTAGCAGTTCTTTTCTGCCTCCCCAGGTATATTGTCGTATCGATATTCATTGATCTTACCGAAATGAATGATTGTGGGGCTCTTCTGGTAAAAACTCACCCATACCTTCGTATGAGTGTATGCTCCACAAATACACAAATAAGTGGAAAAAGAAAAGAAATAAAAAGAAAAAGAAAAGGAATCAAGACAAAAGGGGAATAATAACAATGCAAGCTCAAGCTTCGGACACCGTCTGGTTTACCTCCAGACCCTCGGCAAGTGACACTTTTGTTTTATATTCGCAACTTTTTTATGCCGCTGCTGTTGGGGATCTCTTCTCTCGAGAACAAAAGGCGATTTCTTAGTAAAAAAAACCCAAAACATGAATACAATCACAGACATCGTACAGATTTCATATATTGTACTTGGTAGATTGGTGTACCTCGTTCCTTTCACCTTTATTCTATCTTTCAAGGTGATTTTGCATCGAGGGTTATATAGGCAAACTCGGGCGCTCTTGTTTAACATATACCTATATATCTTATGTTGTATTATATTATTGATCGAATTGCAAGCAGAAATATTGTTTAAAATAAATGTATGTAAATAATCTATATTGTATTAATTATTAATGATCGAATCGAATTGAAGTAAGCTTGCGTTCTTGTTGACTATTTAACCGAAAGCGTAGTGTACCATTAGCGATCACCAGGAAAAACTTGGTCTCTGATTACTAATCTAGTATTGACCAACCCAACCCAACCTTTTAGGCAAACATCCTAAGTTTTTGATTCTTTCGACATAAAACAGTTTATGCTATTCGTCGTTATATGTTTAATATATGTACAAAATCCGTACCAAGCTGCAACTGCCATTATTAAATACGAAAGAGTAAAATTTAATGCAAAAAACCTAAAATAGAACTTCAAGCTAAAGCTGGAAAATCAATAAGCTTTAATAACTAAAGGGCGCTCAGACAAAGTCCGTAAACCGTAAACTTTTGAGTGATATGATTATTTATACACGTATGAATGTATGTATGTAAATACATATTTTAACATAGATATGTATATTGCCATTCCCTCTGCAAGGAAGCAATTCCGCACTGACATCAAACTACCTCGACGGTAATAAAAGGTTAACAAAGAACAATAACCATCTAACTGGGTAATTACTCGAGCGTACTCGGTTCGTCAGTTCACTCGGCAATTATCTGAAAATGCGTTTTCCCAACTGTCAACTGCAACTATACATACGTACATACATAGGTACATAGGTATGTACATAGGTATGTACATTTATTTTTTCTGATGACAACTTGAATATAATGTATGTGCGTGCAGTTGCACACGAATTAGCAGGCAGTGTATGTAAGTGAGTGTGTGCATGCAAGCACAAAAAACAACCATTGTCAATAACTCATTTCGTTTAAATATACATATGTATAGGTATATGCATTAAATAGCTTCTGCATGCAAGTGCCTTACCTATCGTTTTTTTGGGGAATATCAAAATTTACACACATTTATGTATGCCTACAGCTGCTCTCATAAAACATTACGAAATTGATCGAAAAATCTTTTGAGTCAATTACGCAATTGAATTTAGCTTAAGATGTGATCAAAATGTTGGAAAATCATGTTTTGTGAAAATGCAGGAGTAGCCAGTTTCAAAAGCTTTAAATTCAAAGATAATTATTATTGAGAATTAGTTAAAAACAAATATTGTAGAAATAAATAAAGGCAAGAAAGGAAGCATTGTAACTATGCCACGCCGAAGTTTATATACCCTTGCAGATAGAACTTCGATAACTAGTAATTAATACAATATAAATTATATGCAATACTTATGTTATAAAATAATGAAGTAATGCCTGCTTTCATTTCTTTAACGTATACATATTATATTTATACAGTTTATATATTTATATGTAACGATCCTTTCTATGGCAGCTATTTGATACAGTCGTCCAATTTTCATAAAATTAAAAACTAAATGCTAGAAAATATAAAATCTTTTAAACTGAGAGACTAGTTTGCGTAGAAACGGAGAGACGGACAGACGGACAGACGGACATGATCAAGAATATATATACTGTATATGGTCGGCGGTGACTCCTTCACTGCTTTGCTAACTTCTGACTGAAATAATAATACCCTGCAAGGGTATAACAAGAAAGGACGGATAGACAAACGGACGGACATGGCTAGATTGACTCTGTTGTTGATGTTGATCAAGAATAGTGACTTTTTCACTTCTGACTAAAGTTATAATGCTCTGCGATGGTATAAAAAGGGGGGAAATGAGTGGTTGAATGAAGAAAACATCTCGCTCTTTTCCTTAACATTTAGCTTAGGTTAATTTCTGATTAATGAGAATTTGTATGTACGCCTTATAAGCATTTATGTGTGGATTAGAAGCACACATTCTTACTACACAGTTAGTTGGAAGTTCTCAAGTTATTGTGCAAAACTGTAAATACCTTTGGGAGGAAGGTAACGCAGACCAAAAAATTAAGTCAGTTTTGCTCGTGGCGTTGTCCGACGAATATTGGCATTCCTGGAGAGAGGAGAAGAACACAAAATCCATTCTTTTCGACTAAAGGTGCAATGCTTGGATCTCGTCCTGGGTTCTTTGGTCTCTCTCTGGCTCTGCGTCCGAGTCGTTTGCATACCAAGCCAACTGTAACCTCAACTGCAGCCAACTGCAAAAGCCGCACCGCAGCTAAAACGCCACAAGCAAAGCTCAAGTGGTGTCTGTAGCTACACGGAGAGAAAACAATATGCATTCCCCCAGTAGAAGTGCCTGCGATGTGTTCACCGGGGAAATATGAATACTAACTGGGTCCTGTGTTTATCACTGTGTACATGTGGAACAGAAACAGAATCAAAAGCAAAAACACCACCGCACCACTTGATGGTGGCTGATATATCACGGAATTTTGTATGTGGGTGTAAAGGCAGCAGAAAAAACTTGACTCTGACTTTGAAACCAGTTGAGGAATATGAAGAACAGATAACGACGACGACGACGACTCCACAGAAATAAAGACATACAAAAAAAACTAACAGAGGCACGCGCGAAATATTTTTCGAACGAATCAAAAGAGGAACGGATGCGGATCGGGGGAAGTCAAACGGCAGGGAAACCTTGACTTCCTTTGTCTTGCGCATATCCATAAGGCAGTGAACTTTGCTATTTCTGCAACAACTTTAACCAATTCCCAAATGAGGACCAAGCTCACTAATCAAACAGAATTAATATTTATAGTTCTACAACTTGCAGTAGGGTGGCAAGTTAGTGTTGAAATCAGAATCCTATATATGCATACACAGCTGTCGTTACTATGCGAACTATGCCTTAGAGGTATTTGAATGGCACTTCATTGTACGTCCAATTTCTATTTCTGGTAATGCATATTATATGAGAGAATAACATAAGTTGCCGTTTTTGATTGCTATTAATTTTAACACGATCAAAATAACATTTAAAACAAGCAGCTCGTCTTATTGATTTATAATTACACTTACTCTGTTACCCTAATAATTATGACAATAAAGTTTTAAATTTATTTATTTCAGCTTCAATAATAATGGTAATGACGAAGACGGCTCTCCAATGTCCAGTACTGATGTGGAAACTTTTAATGGCAAAATAGTATACAATCTCGATGGCAGCAGCGCCTATATTATCGATGCAGATAATGCCAATGATCATGGAAGTGGTGAAACTTCGAAGTATAGGCAAGCACCAGCATCTATTTCAGTGAAGAAGGACTTCTCGAATGCCAAAGATTTCGGTTTTGTGGAGGCGAAAGAAAAAAAGGAACAACAGGAACAGGAGCAACAGGAGCAACAGCAGCACCAGCAGCAGGAGAAGGAGACTCTGTACAAAACCAGTCCCAAGATACATTCATTTCGCGTAGTAACGGCGCAGGATGCTAACTCTAATCCAACTAGAGATATAATATTCAAGATTCAAAAACCAATATTAATGTGCTTCATATGCAAATTATCATTTGGCAACGTCAAGTCCTTTAGCTTGCATGCTAACGCCGAACACAAGCTCAATTTAATCGAGTTGGAACAGCAGCTACTTAAACGGGAGTATTCTAGCGCCATAATACAGCGAAATATGGATGAGAAGCCATCGATATCATTTCTGCAGCCATTGGATATTAATGCCTCCGGTGATGTTGCCGATGAGAAGAATCTACAACAGATATCTGCCGATGCTGTCGTTCCTATTCTGACCGAAACTGATCAACAAGAGAAAGAGAAAGCGAAAGAGACAGAGACAGAGAAAGAGAGAGAGAATGATAATTATGATCAGTGCAGAGAGCGAGAGATGCAGAATGATCCCGAAGACGATCAAGATTCTGATCATATTAGTAATAATCAAATGGCAGCACCTAGTGCAAATTATCATTATCATCAGGTGAAATCATCTCTGAAATTTGGTTCCTTAAACTCAGAAACAGAAACAACAAAGACTAATAAACTATCGAAAGTATCTGTACCCTCATCATCGTCCTCAACCAGTTCCTGCGAGGTCTCATCATTATCCCGTACTGATAATCTAAGTAACAATAATAATAAGTCAGTAGAGTCTTCATTGGAAATTGAAATGAATCCAGGCTCATCATCGTCACCTCAACGAAATGAATTATCAGAGGTTTCCAACTCGGATTTCTTGGCAGCCACTGCTCCTGGCATATTCCCTCCTCAAGTCAGTTCTTTCCATGCTTCGCTAGCAGCTCTGGCCGCCAACAAAACTGAATCAAACGGCAATCGTGTTAAGCTGATAACCGAGTTCCTTCAACAGCAACTGCAGCAACATCAAAGTTCCTTATTTCCCAGCCAATGCCTCGAACATCCTGATTTTAATGGCGTCGATTGTAAAACCTGTGAATTCCTTGAGATCCAAGGAAGGACCAAGTCCCCGTCTTTGCCCCAGCATCAGGTACCGCCACATCGCTCGCCCTGCAGCAACCTGGCAATGTCCCCTAGTTCATCATCAGTAACCAGCGTGGGAAATGCAGGGGCGACAAGCGCGGGCGCATCAACAAGCGCCTCATCCAGCTTCACCATTGGTGCCTGTTCGGATCACATCAACGGACGTCCCCAGGGTGTGGACTGTGCGCGGTATGTATGCGTTACTTACTGTTGCATTATAGTGCGTAGAAATATCAAGAAAATATGTCTCTTCATTTTGGACATAGCTTAATTCCAGCCAATTGAAACCTTTATCGAATAGACTTAAATTAAAACTGGAAACAATATGCATCTATTCTTTTGCTTTTACCGTTGTCCTATGAACCGATGTCTTTACTTTCCTTTTCGGTTTGCTTCTGCATAGATCAATCTACGCGATAAAAAAAGGTTAGGGGAATGGTCAGCAACAACAACAACAACAACAACAACAATAAAAACTAAAACAATTGAGGATGTGCAAATATGTAGGTTGTTGTGTTAATACTTTTTTTTCGACTACCTGTGTACAAATTCGGTAGTCCGGCAGTCATGGAGGTCACTACGCGGACACTCTTAACTGAAGGTTTCCCGATTTATTCATATGCATGTACATATGTATGTATATATTAAAAAGTAAGAAAACCTTCGAGGCATTGTGCCGTCAGCGGTTCGTTAGGTTACTTGCTAAGGGGTAGTTAACTAACAGGGTGCAAATATTATTATGCCGGATGGAGAGAAAGGGTTGCGATTACGTGTCTGTTCAAGCATAGCCCTAATATGGCTAATTATTTAAGGCTGTGCGTTTGAACTTTTGAACTGTAACTGTAACGAGAGCTGAGCTGAACAATAAGTCATTAGGCCAAGTAAGCTGGGACTAGTAATTGCGATATAGAAATATGTGCGAGGAGGAGTTATACCCTTAGGTGATTTTTGCTGGCTCGACTGGACTAGCTTGTTCATTTAAACGCAAATGACGTTTGGGATTTGGGGTTTGGAAGCACAACCAACTCGTGTTGGTTAACGGTCCACTGATTGCCATCACTTTTTATACCCTTTCGGGGTATTATAGTTTTAGTCAGAAGCTTGCAACGCGGTGAAGGAGACTACTTGATCATCCCCAAAGTCAAAGTCGATATAGCCATGTCCGTCTGTCCGTCTGTCCGTCTGTCCTTCTACCTTTCTGTCCGTATGTCCGTTTCTACGCAAACTTTGCAGTGTGGAAAATGCTAAGCTTTGAATGTAAATCTGTAACTGTAAAACTATAGTAAATATAGTATGTATAGGAGAATGTAATGAAAGTAAGCAAGGGTATTTAAACTTCGGCGGCCCAATGTTAGCTTTCTATGTATTGAAAATTTTTGAAATAGAAGCTCATTGTGACACTGGGAAATACTAAATACAGAAATAATCAGGAATTGTCAAAATTATCGAAATTTCAGTGTATTCCTGATTAGTTATCAAAAATGTATTTAAAATATTAACAAACTGAACACTAAATTATTTTCTTATTTTATCCATCCAAAAGAGGGCTTTGGAGAAGACTAACACAATGAAATTGATTAATTGAGAGCCACCTATAAGAATCTATTATTAACAATTAACAAGGCTCCATGTAATATGCATATTCCTCTATAATATAAATGTGTAAATTGTACGCTTGTGTGTTTCAATTAACAAAAATGTTGGAAAATCTTTTTTTATGATCTTTTTGTTCAGAATGGGAGACAAAAATTAAACCAATTGCGCTGATTTCACTTAATAAATGCTCCCACAGTTTCTCAATTGTCACAAATTTAATGGTGTCGCTTACCGAGGTGACTGCGGTGGATTCGGATTCGGGTTCGAGTTCAGCTTCTCCGGGTATCATTAAAATTTTACCGACACTTTGTTGTTGAATGGGATGCAGCGTTTATCAAATTAAAAATAATCAAAGCAACTAAGTGATTTTATACAAGTAGAAAAGCTAGCTTTTAGTGAGACCGCATGTGAAATACACAGTACCTGAACCAGTTTGGGTGAAATTGATCAAGAAAGGAAGTGATTTTCGGCATGTCGAAGTTTGTTTACCCTTGCAGGTAGAACTTCGATGACTTGGAATTAATACAATATAAATTATATATATTTATGTTGAAAAGCAATAAAGTAATGCCTGATTTCACGGCACTCACCTGCCAGGGTATTACAATTTCAGTCAGAAGTTTGCAATGCAGTGGAGGAGTCATCTCCGACCATATAAAGTATAAATATTCTGAACAGGATCAACAGCCGATCCGATCTAGCCATGTCCGTCTGTCCGTCTGTCCGTTTCTATGCAAACTAGTCTCACAGTTTTAAAGCTATCTGAATAAAACATTACAGTTAGTCTTCTATATACTCTCACTCGTATATATGTCGGAACGGGCTATAGGAACAATCGGAAAAATTTTAGAAAACAAATTCTTACTTTTTCAATTTTGAACAGATTTATATATAATTTGAAATATATCCATTTTATGATTCTAGAATGTCGGTTTTAATTTAAGCTACCATAGGAACGATCGATAAATAAATGCATTTAAAAATTAACTTTTTCTGTTTTCAACATGTAACTTAAAGCATTATCATAAAGTTTGAGATATAACCATCTTATATTATTTTGTTTTTTAACTTTATAAAGATCGGGAGACTATATTATAAAGCTGTTAAACTGTAACTGTAAAACTGTGAATATAATAGGTTTTTATTGTATACATTAATTATAATCAAATTGCAACCTGCAAGGGTATACAAAATTAGGCGTGCCGAAGTTAGCTTTTTTTTCTTGTTATATTTATAATAAAATCTTGAAGCTTTAGTTTTTTATAATATCACTTTACTCTTATTTCAGATGTGAAATGTTGCTTAATTCGGCACGATTGAACAGCGGCGTCCAAATGTCCACACGAAACTCCTGCAAGACTCTAAAATGTCCACAATGTAATTGGCATTACAAATATCAGGAAACGCTGGAGATTCACATGCGGGAGAAGCATCCAGATGGGGAAAGTGCGTGCGGTTATTGTTTGGCAGGTAATATACATTACTACATTTAAATGATATATATTTAAAAGTTCAATCAACTGGCGGAACTGCACGACATCAAATTAAAAAGAAATAAAATAAATAGAACGTTCGAAAATAATAGAAAGATATGAATAGAATCTATAAAAAAGTCGCCTTTAGGGTGTTTAATGGTTTTCCCCATTATTTGCTTCAATAACATATTTAATACATGACTTTAAAAGTCCCTTTTTCACGTTTTTTCAAATATTCAAAATTTATTCGGCTTAATCGATTGCCTTGCAGTTATCAAGATTATTATTGTATTTTATTAAATCTTTTTCTTCGGTGTTGTAGTTCAGCACTAAAATTGTTTCCATATTTCAACTTAATTTTTATACCCTGGCAGGGTTTTATAATTTTAATCAGAAGTTTGCAACGCAGTGAAGAAGTCATCTCCGACCATATAAAGTATTTTATTCTGATCAGCATCAATAGCCGAGTCGATCTATACAATTTTTTTTTAAAAGTAATGCAAACTTCTTAGTTCTAGGTCTAAAGTAAACTAGAGTAATTAAAAAAAAATAAAATTAAATAAAAAACACCCGTCACGTGGGTCATTCTCCATAAATGATATAAAAATGCCAATTGCGTAAAACTTCGGGTCTTTGAAGTTAGTTTTATAATGTTGTATGGAATTGTATAATTATGTTATTTTAAAAACTAATAATCGCTTATTTCTAACCTTTTTGCACATCCAGGACAGCAACATCCTCGCTTGGCACGTGGGGAATCCTATTCCTGCGGCTATAAGCCGTATCGCTGTGAGATTTGTAACTATTCCACGACCACCAAGGGGAATCTCTCGATTCACATGCAATCTGATAAGCATTTAAATAATATGCAAGAGTTGAACAGCTCGCAGAATATGGTCGCTGCGGCCGTGGCCACAGGGAAGTTGCTTCTATCGAGCAGCTCTTCTTCGCCTCAGGGAGCTGGTTCCTCCAACAGTGCTCCTCCTCCAGTTGGTTCCTCGTCCTGCCTTACATCGAACAATGTTGTGGGAAATCCTTCTATTTCGAACAACTCAAATGCTAGTTCCAGTACGGGCCCCATTTCCAGCTCCAACGTTAACCTAAAGCCAAAGCCTTCATTTCGGTGCGATATTTGTAGCTATGAGACATCGGTTGCTCGAAATTTAAGGATTCATATGACCAGCGAAAAGCATACACATAATATGGCAGTGCTGCAGAACAATATAAAGCATATACAGACATTCAACTTTTTGCAACAGCAGCAACAACAATCCAGTGTTCCGGGAGCAGTCAGTTCTAGCGGAGTAGCAGGTTCCTTTCTGCCGGAAGTCGCTTTGGCAGATTTGGCTTATAACCAAGCCCTGATGATTCAGTTGCTGCACCATCAACAGCAACAGCAACAGCAACAGTCTTCAGCTAATACCAAACTATCACCAACATCTTCGTCACCAGATCCCTTTAACTTTTCCATTTCACCGAAGCCCGTTGTGAAGACGGCTCACAATCAAGGACTAGGCTTAGGCATAGGCATGCCAATGGTTGGAGGCATTATTGACAGCGGGGGAGATCCAACAGGAGATTTATCGCAGCCTATCTCGAAGCCCAACGAATGGCCCTCGGCCCTTTATAGTTGCCTCATTTGTGACTCGTTCAACACCAACAATTTGGATGATCTTAATCAACACTTGCTAGTAGATCGCTCGCGATCACAAACCACCGCCTCCTCGTGCTCCACAGAGATAATGCTAATTCACAACAACAACTATATATGTCGACTGTGTAATTATAAGACGAATCTCAAAGCCAACTTTCAACTGCACAGCAAGACAGATAAGCATTTGCAGAAACTCAGCTATGTCAATCACATTAAGGAGGGCGGCATACGCAACGAGTACAAGTTTCAACAACACTTTCAACAACAACACACCAATGTCGTGCAGTTGAAATGCAATTGTTGTGATTTTAACACAAATTCGATACAAAAACTCTCGCTGCACACACAACAAATGCGCCACGATACTATGCGAATGATATTTCAACATTTACTGTACATTATACAGCAGAGTAACTTGAGGAAAAACGACAACGAGTCCTGTCCCGAAGAAGATCAAAGCAGTAAGAAACATCTAGTACTTCTTTGTCAGCTGTGCAATTTTAGCGCTAAGAATCTCCATGAAATGGTGCAGCACGTGAAGAGTATGAGACACATGCAAGTGGAACAATTTGTATGCTTACAGCGTCGTACGGAGAATAAGGAAAATCCAGCTTTAAATGATGTGTTTAAAATAACAGAATGGATTTATGAAAATGAAGGTAAGCTCGCTTTTTACACACTGTTTTCCTTATATCGTCAAATACAATTTCTTAGACAAAATTAAAGAATCAATTAAAAAGCCTACAATACAAATCATGTGTGTGTATGTATATATTTTTCCCCGTCCCCAATACCACAAAAAACATATTGCATATTGCATATTGTTATAATACGGTTTGGTTCGGTATTCGTTCGGTTCGTAACTCATCATTAAGCGCTGATTTCAGTTCAATTTTAGTTCTTCTTTTGGCCTCCCGTCCTCCTACTCCTTCTCCTCCTCGATTATTATCGTTCGTCTTTCGCCTTGGACTTCATCCTCAGTCTCCCTACCTTCGTACCTCCTCTCTCCTTGTCCGCTTACCTTCAGGAATCATCGTCGCGTTTACCTAAATTCTTCTTTTGCCTTCGCCTTCGCCCTCTCTTTTTCTCCGCTTTGCTCCGAGATTTATACGCTGAGACGCTGACCCTTAAGGAAATTATTACAAATTACTTAAGAATGCAAAAACGATTATGTGTATCCATCGAATTTGCAATTAGTGACGTGCACACTTTGCTTGCTGCTCTTCCCCAGTCCCGATCGAGCTCAGACTTGAGCTCAGACTAGTCTTTTTCAAAATCAAATTTAACTCCGACTCCACGCTCTCCAGCAGTTTGAGATTCCCATATCAGATGGTGATGCGGCGAAGGCGAAGGCGAAGGCGGAGGCGGCGGCGTCGTGCAGGGTATGAACCGCAGCAGTCATAGCATATAACCGCAGAACAGTGAGGCCTCCTTGCAGAGACACACAACAAAACAACAAACAGCAGTCGCCGCTCCATCGATACCTCCGTACCGCAAAAGATACAAACAATAACGTCGTAAAAATAAACACGAAGAAGTAAAGTAAAGACTGCAACGCAGTCATCTCCGACCATATAAAGTATATATATTCTAGATCAGCATCAACAGCCGAGTCGATCTAGTCATGTTTGTCCGTCCGTCCGAGTCTTCCATATACTCTCAATCGTATACATGTCGAAACGGGTCGGATATTATATAGCTGCCATATTAACGATCGGAAAATATTAAGAAAAACAAAAAATAAATAACCTTTTCAGTTTTCAACAGATTTTCATTTTTGCTATCTGACTACTACATTTAATTAATTTAATTTAATATTTTTATTTTTACATAAATATATATAATTTATATTGCATTAATTGTTGATCGAATTTCAATCTGCAAGGGTATAAAAACTTCGGTGTGCCGAAGTTACTTCCTTTCTTGTTTTTTTACGTTTAGCATTAAAACTGGTCCATTTAATATAATACCAATATAATATTACCATTAATTTTAATTCCTTAAACAAATATTTAACAATCTGTTTCATGCAAAAAGTATAATTTTATGAATTCCTTAAGAAATATTTCCAGTTTTGTAAATGAAACAAATGAATACAAAATTGTATAATAATTGTATTAAAATTTCGTCCATATTAAGTATATATATTCTTGATCAACATCAAAAGCCGAGTTGATCTAGTCATACTTGTCCGTCCATCCGTCTGCCCATTTCATCCAATCGTAAACTATCCATCCATCCATCGCAAACTATCTCTCAGTTTAAAAGTTTTCTAAATAAAACTTTGCAGTTAGTCTTATAGATACTGTAACTCGTATATAAGTTGGATCAAACGACCAAAAGAACAATCGAAACAAATTTTAACTTTTTTAGGGTTCAACAGATTTGCATATAAGTCAAGATGTTAAGATGTTGTGGTATTTTAAAAATTCAGTTTAATTTTATGAAGATGGGACTACTCTATCACACAATATTTAGAATAGAATAGAATAGAATAGAATATAAAACTGTAACTATAAAACTCTAAATATAATATGTTCATATATTGATTGCAATCTGCAAGGGTTTACGAAATTTCGGACACTATATCAACCTTCAGCAATAGGAAAGATCGGTAATTAATAACAAATGTAAAACTTGAATCGTACAACGTCTAATAGAAAATGTAGGGGTTTATGTAATTAAACTTTCCATTACTTATTATTTTAACTTTAGTATTTAAAATGAGCATAAATCTTTTAATACGATTTTAAAATCTTTTAATAGTGTATCAAAATGTTCTTAGGACGGATCGATCAATAGGTTTTTTTTGACTGAAATATATATTATATATTTGCAGAAATTAGCTCCTTTTTTATAGCTATTACTATGGCCGCAGCTGTGCAGCGTGGCACCCTCTTAAATTTATAAGGAGTGATGGAAAGGAGGAAGGAAGAAGAGGCCAGAAGGCATGTGTGCGCGGAGAGCATTGCAGCACCAGTCAGGAGTTTGCAACGCAGTGAAGGAGTCATCTCCGATCATATATAGTATACATTTTCGTGATCAGCTTCAACAGCCGAGTCGATCTAGCCATGTCCGTCTGTCCGTCCGTCCGTTTCTACGCAAATTAGTCTCTCAGTTTTGAAGCTATCTGAACGAAACTTTGCAGATATTCTTTTATATACTCTCACTCATGTACGAACGGGGCGATTATATATCTGGTATTGGAACGATCGGAAAATCAAACCAGCCTAAAAAAAGTTTAATCGCAAAGAAATAATTATTACCCGGATAAAAAGAGGGAAGTAGAGGAAGGGAAAGGGAAACAGTAAGAGGAAGGGGAGGAGTTCGAAGAGGAGGAGAGGGAAAGAGGAGCTAACCTTAATTTTTTTTAGATTAAGAATTCAAATTCTATTTTTTTTTATTCGATTTTCATATATATTTTTTCAGATATGTCTTACGAAACCGGCGGTTATTTAACAAGAAGCACCACCACAGCTACAGCCAAAGAGGGCTCATCCTTGGACGCCACCAGCTGTGGTGCCGCTGCTCCAACAGCATCATTATCTTCTGTGGCTGCTGAAGCATCATCATCATCATCTTCGGCAGTCATCGCTGGGGCAGATGTCGGTGTATTCTCCCCGACAACAACTTCACCCTCGAGTTGCTCTACATCTTGCGGCAAAACGTTGGGTATCAGCGTTACATCTCCAACACCAACTGTGAATGATTTTGGTTTGGTTTTGAGTGCTCCTCCTTCTGCTCATGCTCCTGCCACCGTTTCAGTTCCCGCTGTCAGCGTTCCAACGACCGTGTTCAAGTGCAATCTCTGTGAATATTTTGTGCAATCGAAAACCGAAATGGAAACTCATATCGAAACGGAACATCCTTGCGCCGATCCCAGTGAGGACTTTATAAGTATACCAACCAATACGGCGGCGCTGCAAGCTTTCCAAACTGCGGTAGCAGCAGCAGCCATAGCTGCGGTACGCCAGCAAAGAGCTAATGCCATTGATGCAGGAACAGACATTAAGCGGGAGGAAGAGGATGAAGAGGAAGTGGAGGAAGTAAGCAAGGCAACTGAGGTATGTGAGGTAGCTGAGAAAAAGATTCAAGCAGGCATACAATGTCCCTTGTGCTTGGAGAATCATTTCCGAGAGAAGACAAGCTTGGAGATTCATTTAACCAGCGTACACAATGTGGCCAGAGATGGTCTATCCCGACTCCTAATGCTAATTGATCCAAAAGCTTGGGAGGATAACAAGAGTAGCAATATCTCAACAGAAGAAGCAACGGCAACGTCCGAAGAATGCTCATCCTCTTCTAATCCAGCAGCTGTCACCACCAATGTAATAGGGATGAATGTGCTTTGCTGCCAAAAATGCGAGGCCATCTTCAAGCATGACGAGCAACTGCTTCAGCATGCTCAGCAAACGCAACACTTTCCGATTCAAAATGGTGAATATCTGTGCTTGGGATTAACTCATACCAGTCGTCCGTGCTATCTGAGATTTCGAACCCTTACGAACATGATCAATCACTACCAGGACACGCACATGAGCTCCGTGATCTCAGAACGTCACGTCTACAAATATCGTTGCAAGCAGTGCTCCTTGGCATTCAAAACCCAAGAGAAGTTGACAACGCACATGCTATATCACTCGATGAGAGATGCTACGAAGTGTTCACATTGCCACCGGAATTTTCGGAGTACGCAGGCACTGCAAAAGCACATGGAGCAGGTGCACGCAGGCGGAGACGGAGACGGAGACGGAGTCAGATCCAACAGTAGTTCACTGGCGCAGACGCAATCTACACCTAGTACCGAATTGCCTGCCGAAGAAACTTTTGAAGTTAAAGGAGGTAAGTACCCAAAATGAGCTGCAATCCCAAAGTAAGACATGTATGTACAACTTTATTAATGTGATTTTGCAGAGGTTGCCGCTATTAATGATGCCAGGTCGTCTCCACTACGATTTGAAAACCCACAGCTGCTAGCCAAGGAAACAAACAGCAGCCGGCAGAGTCCCATAGCTCCCACATCTGATACTCAGACTCAGCAGCAATATTTTGCCACCTTGACGAACTTGCTGAAGCAACAGCAGTGCAACTCAGAGGTTTTGGGCATGCAACCAGACGCTCTGCTTCCAATGGGAGAGTTTTCTCAACATCTACAGGTAATTAAACCAGCTATAACACAGAATCAGTTATTTTCTTAACTTATTTAGAGCCCACAGAATCTACAAACCATGCAACAGCAGCAGCAGCAGCAATTTGGGGCTGCAATAAATCCAGTGGATATGCTCAACCTTATGCAGTTTCATCATTTAATGTCACTGAACTTTATGAACTTAGCACCGCCATTGGTTTTCGGCGGGAGCGGAGGCGTAGGAGGAGGAGCAGGCAGTGTAGTGGCAGGAGCAACCCATCAAAACAACAGTAACCTAAACGCCTGCTCCTCAACCGCGGATATTCAACTCACAAACAGTGGGGATTCGGGAAAAGCAACTGCGGCAGTCCCTACTCCCACACAACATAATGCCGCCAACTCAAGCACTCAGGTGAGAAAGATCCTGTAATTTAGTCTTGACATATAAGGGATAATACACAAAGTTTGTATTATTTTGTAAGAAATACAAGTATATAACATTTTAAGGAATAACAAAACTAAAAATGTTATAAAAACCTATTTGCTAGGGTGTAAAAATGCATTATTTATCAAATGCTATTCATTTATTTGCAGCTGACTGCCACCAACCAAAAGCGTGCTCGTACGCGTATCACCGATGATCAATTAAAAATTTTGCGTGCTCACTTTGACATTAACAATTCGCCCAGCGAGGAGAGTATTATGGAAATGTCACAGAAAGCAAACTTGCCAATGAAAGTAAGTCCAAAAGCTTTATCACGAAAAAGTTAAGCCTACGGAATGTATACCAAAACCAAATCTAGTTTTTCAGGCAAGAAATTCAATTTTTTTTTTTGAGCGATCGCACATAGAGTCTTCAAATATTTAATTTTCCTGTTATTTTCGAAGACCTATAAATATTTGCTGGAAATTAGAAGTACTATTTTTTTCTAGTTGCTATGAAATGTATTACAACGTAATATCTTTTTACCCTTGCAGGGTATTATCATTTTAGTCAGAAGTTTGCAACGCAGTGATGAAGACATTTTCGACCATAGAAAGTGTATATATTCTTGATCAGGATCAACAGCCGAGTCGATCTAGCCATGTCCTTCTGTCCGTTTCTACGAAAACTAGTCCCTCCGTTTTGAAGCTATCTGAACGAAACTTTTCAGTTAGTCTAATATACACTCTCACTCGTATCGAAGTTCCATCTGCAAGGGTATATAAACTTCGGCGTGCTGAAGTCAGCTTCCTTTCTTGATTTATATCATTTTAGTTAAAAGTTTGTCCTTTTTAAGTGTACATATATAAAATTTATCGGCATCAACAGTAGAGTCGATCCAGCCACGCAACTCTTTCCGTTTCTACACTTACTAGTCAAAATAATCAGAAGACTACTGATAAATGTAAATTGTAAGAGATTTAACCACTAATTCGGCCAAAGTCTTTCAGTTTTTGTTATGTAACTCCTAGTATATTTAAGTACATTAGTGTTTAAAAAAAACTTTGGTGGGTCTTACAACGCATTTTACTCCTGAAGAAAACTGGTGACTATTATTATTTGACTATCCTGCAAAAACAAGAGAGTCTTCGCGAAATTTTCTAAAAGTCTTGGACGCTTGTCCAAAATGCCTTTTAGCCAAATATGGCACAAAAAAAATCGGAAGGAAAAAGCAATCTTCTAAACCAATGGGCATTGGGATCGTCACTTGCCAAAAGGGACTTCTTCAAGTCATCCAAGGCCTCTTCCGCCGAAATTGACAATGAAATTTCTTACCGAAGGATTCGTCGTAGACTACAAGAGGCAGGACTACCAGGACTTGTATCCCAAAAAGGTCCATTACGTCGAGGAAAAAATTTCCTGATGTATCAAACATGATTTGACATGGTTTGGACCGGAAGGGTACAACAAAGGGAACAAAATGGATCAATGATACAAGAATAAATCTTTCTGGAAACGATTCAAGACATTTCCTATTACGACCTAAAAGTAAAGAATTCAACTCCTGGTACACGCAAAACATAGTTAACCACGAAGGCGGATGTACAATGGCCTGGGGCGGTTTTTAATTGCATACCGCTGAACAGATACATCGCATAAATTATATTATAACCCAAGTCGGATAAAAAACTATTTCAGCTTCGATGGGTTTTTCAACAGGATAACGATCCAAAGCATACCTTAAAGATCATTATGGCCTTGTTTAAAGACAGCAAGGTAACTTGCTAATTATATAATTTTTAGTTTTAAACAGAATTTTATTAAATTTAAGATATTGCAATTTTTTATTATTCTTCAATGTTGTGTACATTTTAATGCAAATCGGACTACTATAGTAATATATAGATGCCATAGGAACGATCGGGAATTTAAAACAATTAAAAATTTTAATTTTTTTTAGTTTTCAACAGATTTTTATGAAATTTGAGATGTAGCCAACCCTATTATATTAGTCCAGAATTTTGATTTTAATTTTGTGAAAATCGGACGAATATATCATACAGGTGCCATACATACGAAAAACGGCAAGGATATACAAACATTGGCGTGCCGAAGTTCCTTCTTGTTCTATTTTGCACATTATATTATTATCGAAAAGGAGAATAATATGAACATTGCCATTACTTCGTTACTTTTCGAGATATTAGCATATAATCTGTAATCACTAAAAAATCTCTGGTTCACAAATATAATAATATATTAACATCATTCAAATTACAGGTCGTTAAGCACTGGTTCCGAAACACCTTATTTAAGGAAAGGCAACGCAATAAGGACTCGCCCTATAACTTTAATAATCCGCCATCAACTACCCTCAATTTGGAGGAGTACGAACGTACGGGTCAGGCTAAGGTTACCCCTTTGAACGATATGGGGAGCGGTGGGAGTAGCGCTGCTGTAACCATAACCACACCGTCGACAACACCAATACCCTCCTCCAATGTCACTCTCAGCAGCTCGTTCAAAGAAGCTCCAACAAATGCAACAAGAGCCGTATCCGTTTCTATGTCCCTCCCAATCCCTGCATCCTCATCCGTATCTCGGCCAGAATCCACAAATTCCAGTGGCAACATCTCTGATTATTTAAGCCAAAATCTATGGGGGAAAGAGCCAGGAAAAGATCAAAATCATTTGCCGCAGTTTTCTACAGAAATGCACATCAAATCGGAGCCCCAGGAAATAGATAATAATGATTTTGTCCATCAAAAACAACAGCAAAATATAAACTTTATGAAGCATCAACAGCCAGATCAGCCCATGAAAAACACAGAAATTGATACATTTATCGATCAGACATTACATTCCACGAACTTTCCTCAACAGCAAAGTCACTTGACAAATCATTTTGAAACAAAATCGGAAAGTGGAAGCTCTGATGTTATGTCAAGACCTCCAACACCAAATGCTGTTGGAGGAAACAATCTGTATGGCAACATGAACGATTTAATAAATCAACAGTTAATGGAAACTATGGGCCCACCCATAAAGAAGCTTCAAATTAGTGGAAAAACCATGGAAAAAAGTTTAACAACAACAGCAAATTCATCTACAAGTTCAACACTAAACCAATCTTCTTGCAGCCAATTCGATAGCAATAACTCCTCCAACTCATCCAGCTCGTCCTCGACATCAGGTGGGAAGCGAGCAAATCGAACACGGTTCACCGATTATCAAATTAAAGTCTTGCAAGAATTTTTCGAGAATAATTCTTACCCGAAAGACAGTGACTTGGAGTACTTAAGTAAGCTGCTATTGCTCTCGCCTCGAGTGATTGTTGTTTGGTTTCAAAATGCCCGACAAAAGCAACGAAAAATCTATGAAAATCAGCCGAACAATACGCTTTTTGAGAATGAGGAAACGAAAAAGCAAAATATCAACTATGCCTGCAAGAAGTGTAGCTTGGTATTTCAACGTTACTACGAACTAATAAGACATCAGAAAAATCATTGCTTCAAAGAGGAGAATAATAAAAAATCCGCCAAGGCACAGATTGCCGCTGCGCAAATTGCACAGAATTTAAGCTCCGAAGATTCAATGGATTCCTCAATGGATGTCCACCATCAGAATATGACTGCACAACTGGCCCCAATTCCCTCAACGCATCACAATTTCTTTACCAAGTCCTCATCATCTCTGCATGACTTTAGCCCATCGACCACACCAACGCCACCGCAACAGGCGGTGCGTGAGCGCAGCAATAGCTTGGATCTTCCGCAGTCGCAGCTGCGACATGCCAAGTGCTACGATTGCGATAAATGTGAACTGCAATTCAACCAGTTGGAGAAATTGCGTGAACACCAGCTCTTGCATCTTATGAACCCCATTAAGCCCAATTTGGACCCCAACTTTGGTCCGTTTGGCAATATTTTGCAAAGTCTTCAGCAAGCGGCGGTACAAACGCAGTCCCAACTTCAACACCAGCCTGAGGCACAATCGGAATCACACGATCAATTGCCTTCCGCGAAAAGGCGAAAAATATCCAATGACAGCTGCTCTTCCCAGGCGGAAGATGATCATGCTATAGTTTTCGAAAAGAAATATGATTTCCTTCACAAATACTTTATGCAAAATGAAACAAACGGAGAACTGAAAAAGCAATTTCTGATGCAACAACAGCATAACAAACAATCAAATGAGTCCTCGGATTTCGAACTGGAATTCCTAACGAACTTTTACCAACAAAACGAACTGAAGAAAGTCAGTAACTATGATTTTTTATTGCAGTACTATCGAAATCAAGAGGAGAAATCATCAACAAACTTTAGTTCTAGTCAAAGTCCAACAATTGAGTTTCTATTGCAATATTATCAGCTGAATGAATCGAAGAAGTTTTTTCAGTTAGTTGCCTCGCCACAAAGAGTACCTGATGATGGACCAGGAGGCAATTTTCAGCCATTAACAGGGGAAATGAAGGATGAGCAAGTCATTAAGGAATTTCATAAGGAGGAACCAAAGGAGCAACATGAGGAAGTTATCATAGATGGCAAGGATTTGGAAAAGGAGCTCGAAAAAGACTGGAAAAATGAGGAAAAACTAAACAATAATAACGATGCAGATGAGAACTTGCTGGAATCAACATCTAGACCCAGATCTCTGCAGGCTCTTCAAAGCGATGAAAAAGATAAGTCTCAATATTTGCACAACTTGGAAGACTTTCTCGATGCCACAATGATAGAAAATAATTCGCAAACTTTAACATTTAACGATGATAACGAGAATAATGCCAGCCAAAAGGACGAATCAATGGTCAAAGCTAATGAACTAGAAAAAAGATCGTCGGTATCTCCCGTAAATGTTTCATCATCGAAGCAAAATAAACGCTTGCGCACAACCATACTTCCGGAGCAATTGAACTTTTTATACGAATGCTACCAATCGGAATCAAACCCAAGTCGCAAAATGCTGGAAGAGATATCCAAGAAGGTTAACTTAAAAAAGCGCGTTGTACAAGTAAGTATTATCTAATTAATTTACTCATTTAAATAAACTGCTAAGATATAAAGTCTTCAAAAGTTATATCGACTTTGTATTTAGAATTCAATATGCCAAGATACTCATTTCAATAATAGCCTGTTTAAACGTGGCCCAGAATCCAGTCTTGCAAATTTCTGTACACAAAAACACATAAAATGAGAAAAAAGCACGACCATAAATAGTTCACTTCAATATAAATAAAAACTTTCTTGAAAACTCGATAAAGCTCTCAAAGCCAACAATAAGTATCATCAAGGTACTACACGTATTACACACATATATTTTATTAATTATTTAATTGTTTTTGTTTTCTTAGTTTCTTAAATTTATATATTTATTGAAATTACTTATATTTTTTCTTAATATTATTTATTAATTTATGTAATTGTGTTTACTTTATATTTTTTATAGTAAAAACGTGAGAGGCATGACAAATTAAAAAAAAAAAAATCACAGTGACTGATTGATATTAAGTCCTCGAACTGCTTTCAAAACTTCAAAAAACTAAGTTGTAAGGTAATTAATATTATTAAAGAGTTATATATTTTCAATATTTTTCGTATATATTTTTCCATTAAACGTATAAATCTAATGAATACTTTTTTCCTCAGGTTTGGTTTCAAAATTCTCGAGCAAAGGACAAAAAATCCCGTAACCAACGGCATTATGCCCATATTTCGGATGATAACAGCTATGATGACGGTGGTTCCAGTAGCAAAGACAACGCTGGACAAGATAATACTGAAATAACGAATCTCCTGCAAGATTGCCAACTCTGCCAAGTCACCCAAGTAAATCTCCAGAAGCACGCTTTTAGCGTGGAGCACATTGGCAAGATGAAAAAGTTCCTGGAACAAACCACAAGCGAGCTTTATGGCAGCGATGACAGTGACTCCGATAGAGAAAAGCATTTCTATAACCTATCCAAAGCATTTCTCCTTCAACATGTTGTCTCAGGTGCTGCCAAGAGCAGTAATGCGACATGTAATACCGGAAATTCTGGACAGGATTCACAGCCGGAAGATGAGAACTGTTTGCTCAATTATGATGTTAAAGGTGATAATGCCAACATCCCCGATGTTCGAGTCACTGAAGCCAGTAATCAGGATCTAATGCAGAAGCTATTCAATCGAAACCATATCACCGGTAAGCGAGTTTCGACTGAGCTTGTAAAAATTCTTTATTTTTTTATTATCTGTTGATCAGATTATATAGTTTGGTACTTTCCTTTACTATTATTTTATTTATGTCGAAAAAAGATAATATCTTCGGAAAATATATATCTAAAATAAAAATTATCTCTATTAAAGGTTTAAGCATTCGCCCCAGAAATCGATCAATATAATTCGATTACTCCCAGTATTTTCTGTGGAAGAATCTTAACAATTAGCAAGAACATAATTTTAATGCCTCGCAACAAATATAAAACTATTATAACAGAACAATAATTTATAAAATAGTAGGTATTTTTAAAAATTAAGTGCAAACAAAAAGAGACGCCTAACACTTAAAGTGTTAGAAAACTGAAAACAGTCAGATGTACTTGGTACTCCTTGGACCTTACTTTTGTTTTACCGTGCCTTTTTCTGTCCCCAAACTATGCCAATATCTAAAAGAAACAACCTAAAAAACAATTTCGTTTTGGTACCCATATACATATGTATATATCAATGGATAAAATTTAATCAAAGTCATACAAATCTCTAATAATACCAATTGATAATGGTAAAAAAATACCTATAAATTTTGGTATAGTACGGTATGGAAAGGGAAAACTGTTTGGCAGCGCGAAAAAGTTTATTCTTTTAAAGTGTGCATTTTTAAGGGGCAAATGTTGCGGTCATACTTTGTTGACCCGTCTCTTTTAAAATTTAGCCACGTTCAACATTTGATTCTTGGGTTTTGGCTAATATATGTCTCAAAGCGATTGGCATATATTATAGCGGTGTCGTCCCATTGGGGAGCTCCCAGACGTTTTAATATGACAGCTATCCGGATTACCTGTAAAAGGAATTCGGATGGTTCCATTCGGGTGGATCAAAGTCCGGTTTATGAAAGAATGTGGAGCATCGAGATCTCTCAGATCGGCAAGACGATTTTTTTTGCTTGCTGGCCTACAACTTCCTAATTTATATTTCACTCCAACGTTCCCCTCTTTCTTAAAAAATTAATTACCAAAAACGAGAAATATTGTGTTCGCCTTTACTAATTTAATTATGTTAACTGTATGCGCTCTTCTAAACTTCTGACTTCATCTTTTTCGCACATTTTTCTTCATGGGGGATCTACAATTTAAAATATGTAAACCAGCTGCAGGTGAGAGCGAGAGGCAAACAGCCTGTCTTATTAAAATTTTTTAATGTTAGGAAATACTAAAAATGTGCCGTCGGGACTATCCTAACTTCCTAGTATTTTTATTTCGTATCGCCGTACTATTTGCCTCTCGCGATCTCTCACTGCTTGAAAATGGTATTTTACCCTCTTCATACCGTGCTTATAAAACGATCGAATAGCAGCAATAAAATGTTTGGTATAAAATCGATAAGCAAAACGAAAACGATAAGCACAACTTTTTGGTGCTAAACCTGTATATGCCTGATATTCCTACCACATTAAATATTTGTATTAAATTATAATTACATACATTAAATATAATTTAATAATAATATTAAAATCAATATGTACAAAAAATAAATATATGTTTTATTTTATTGAAATCACAATTTATTATTTGCGTTTTTTCTTTACTTTAATTTTGTTGTATTAGTAGTATATTTTATTGTCATTTATGATATATTGTTATAAAATTCAAAAAACTAAAACTGCAACCTCTTGTTCTATTAGTTATAGGTGGAAAGTAAAAGAATTGAGGTTGTTTTGTTTTGGCCTTTAATTAACCTTGGATAGGAATAAAAAGTAAATAAAAGTAAGTACTATTTTTCTTACAGTTTTTTTGTGGAAAACAAAACCTAAAAATACAATAATTTATACATTCCAGTGGAAAAATGATGATGCGAAGGAAGGATACGATCACATACCCAACTTACTACGAAAAAAACACTTAAAAGTTCCTATTTTACAAAAAAAAAAACAAAAAAATAAATTAAAACAGATAAACATTTATAAGAATCATTGGCATTCCATAGAAAGAAATACCTACTATTTCCCAATTTAGTAAGAATTGTCTGAAAAAATACGGAGGTGTGTTCCTAACTATTCAAAATATAAAACTTAGCTTTTAAAATATTTAGGTATGGTGGCAATCAAAAAAAAAATAACATAGTGGCAGCTCCTACCAAAAATATATATATATTTCATGAAATATATATGATATGGAATTTTAGATTTAATATGAAACGCAAACTGAGTTCCTAGCATTTGATTGCTTTATGCCTTTGTTTTTTTTCTATATATGTATGTATATTAGAAATATGCGATCGATTTAAGGATACTGTTTGTTCGGCCTGCCGATCATCGGATCAAATAAAAAAAACCTAATTACTTAATTGTAAGATCTATACAATTTTTCGAAAAACTGTACATGAAAATGGAGCGTTCTTATTTTATTATTATTATTACTAATTCATTCGTTGCAATGCTAAGAGAGTGGAAAACGTGCCAATGATTTACTTTCCAACTTTAAAAGGGTTTTAAAATTTAATTTCATATTAATTAATTCTTTAATTAAAAAATAATAATTAAATTAATTTTAACACACTCCCTAAAAACTATAGTCTCTCAAACTGAAAAATGAGAGCAAATTTAAAGTTAAAGAAAGTTTAACATACGTTTTCTTGTTGAATACATGTATTTGTTCACACTGTGCGTATAATTAATATGCGATCTTTGCCTATTACAACATTAATTTCCTATAATTTGTTTTTAAATATGTTTACTTGTTTTCTTTTTAGAAGGCAAACATATAAAAGGAGATGTTTACTATTTCAAATTTTATTACGTTTTAAATACCAACACATATAGCTTCCAAGAAATTAATTTAAAAACAAAATAAATTAACCTAGTCCATATATTTTACACCTATTTTTAATTATTTTTCATTTCCGAAGCTAAAAATATACTTACAAAAATTTAATACATAGCATTTGACTGATTCCTAAAAAAAATAATTGAATAATGAACCTTTTAATTTCATTCTTTCTCAAGCAACAAACAGCATTGATATTTAAACGTAATTTATAAGTATAATTGTTAAAAAAAATTAAGTGACATAAGCAGAAAAACGTAAATAAAAAGTTCCTATAGTATGTATACTATACACAAAAATATATATATAAATATATATATATATATGATACATGATATAATGACATAATACAATATATATATATATAGCTATATATATATATTTACTTAGATAAGTTTCAGGTTTATTTAATTTAATTTTTGGATTACAACAGACTAAAGAAATACATAATAATGAAATAAACCGATGTCCATAATTAAATAATAAATAATATTTGAAAGAAGAAACCCCATGAAATGTTTTATCAAAAATATGAAATATTTTCATACCTAAAAATTAAGCATTCATAATTGCCAACTTAAAAAAGAACAGGTTAACAGATACATAAACATAATAACAAACCTTGAATTACATATTATTAACATGAACTTAAGCCCTCGCAACAAAATTATATAAATTCAAGAATAACTATTGTTTATAAGGTACGGAACAAACATACTTATACAGTATGTTCTTGATCGCCCTCGTGCATATGTTTACAAAGAACATGATATTGCTCAAAATTGTGTAACCACCATTTACATATGTACTTATGTATGTGTAAAGATATACATAACATATCAAAAGACGTACACAAAAACATAGACCTTACAATTAAACACTGTCATTTCATCAGATTTTGTACTTTATTATTTTAAATTGATATGTTTTATGTGCTGACTGTTTATTTTTTCATTCTCTTTATTTAATTGTAATATTTCATTTAAAATTGGTTTCAATTATTTAAAAAAAAGTGTTCTATTTATTTATTGTTTTCATCACACTTTCAAATAAAAAAATAAAGATGTACTTTTGTCTACCTATAAATGTATTAATCGAAACTTACTCCAAATATTGGGTAATACCAATAAACAAAAAAAAAAGAAAGAAAGATATAAATACATATTTATAAAAGTTCCTATATATTTAATAAATTGGCAACAGATGTGCATATATTATAAAATTATAAATTACAAGTAAATAAAGAATATACAAAAATATATACCATGTAGTTTTTTTTAGAAGAATATGTAATATTTCTTAATATTTCCTTAAAAAAAAAACATTAAAAACGCGAAGGATTTTTTTGATTTAATTCGATTTTTTTTCTATATCAATAGGTTAACAAAATATTATATCAAACAAGAAAGGAAACTAACTTCGACACGCCGAAGTTTATATACCCTTGCAGATAGAACTTCTATGACTAGGAATCGATACAATACAAATTATATATATTTGTGTTAAAAAACAATAAAGTAATACCTGCTTTCATTTCATTCACCTATACATATTATATTTGCAGTTTTACATTCACAGATTTTCATTTTTCCTCTATATCAAACGATCGTTTGTATGGCACCTAAATGATATAGTCGTCCGATTTTTATGAAATTTGAAACGAAATTTAAGACTTATATAAAATGGCTATACCTCAAATTTGAAAATCTGTTGAAAACTGAAAAAGTTATAATTTTTAATTGTATTAATTTCTCGATCTTTCCCATGGGAGCTATATGATATAGTAGTCCGATTTTCATAAAATTCTAGAATAATATGAAATGGCTATACCTTAAATTTGATTAAATTCTGTTGAAAACTGAAAATGTTATAATTTTTTTTGTAAAAATTTTTCGATCATTCCTGGCAGCTATATGATATAGTCGTCCGGTCCGGCCCGTTCCGACATATATACGAGTGAGAGTATATAGAAGGCTTCAAAACTGAGAGACTAGTTTGCGTAGAAACGGACAGACGGACAGACGGACATGGGTAGATCGACTCGGCTGTTGATCCTGATCAAGAATATATATACTTTATATGGTCGGAGGTGCCTCCTTCACTGCGTTGCAAACTTCTGACTGAAATTATAATACCCTGCAAGGGTATAAAAAGAAAGGAAGATAATTTCGGCACGTCGAAGTTTATGCCCATGCAGTTTGCACTTCGATCACTAATAATTAGTACAATATAAATTATATATATTTGTGTTTGAAAACA